AGTAGATTTGAACCCCTGAGGTTTAAACGTCAATATTGTTCAAAAATTTTTTCGCTTGTGGTACCTAATGATAGATGTTTGATAGGAAAGAAGAAGCAAACAACACCAGAGCACCATGAGAAGAGCAAGAATATTTCATCATGACCATTTAACAATACATAATAAAAAGAAAGATGCCACACAGTAGGCCTACCTAAATAAAATAAAATATCCTTCATCCATACAATTGAAGTAACAGCATCAGCTGAGCCATCGTCAGTGGAGTACAAAATTAGCCAGTTGGATACCACAAAGGGAAACAAATTCACTACTTTGGAGAAGTTTTTCATGCAAAGGGAAGCACAACCACTCCATGACAGCCACTTGGTGAACGGAATAATCCAAGACGGACAGAGAGAGAAAAGACGTGGGACCTACCAGAGGTGCCATTTCAACTTTTCAGTGTAAAAGTTTGTTGTCCTTCATAGCATACGATACAAATTATATCATATGGAAGAAGGCAAATCACAAGTTTCTCCTAATACACTTGAATGAAAAGCAGGATTTTTTAAACAGACGACTTCAGATCAAACAATGAACATACCTTCATAAGGCTGACATCCTGCTGACGGACTCTCACTGTAACCTTGGGCTCCAACAAACGTACCAAAGCCTGTAGATTAAAAAAGAATAATTAATGACACCAAAAAATATCAAAATCAAAATTTACACGTGTTCTCAACCCAGATTCTTTGACAGTAAATATTTAACGCCCTCACCAACACAATTTAGGCTGTCTCCACCCAGCCTATCAGGGCTAACCTAGGCTGAGTAGGACACACCATCCTCATGCAAAGACTGAGCTGCTTCCCACAGTAGAAACTGAACATACATTTTTTTGGGTGTTGTTTGTTTTGTTTTTGTTTAGTTTAGGGTTTTACGGCGCTCGCAACTGCATAAAGTCATATGAGCGTGCGGGACACACCTAATATTTTCAGTTGGTAGGAAATTTTGAATTTTGCCCGGATTTTAGACCACCAAGGGATCTTTAACGTGCGCAACTTGCACACGGGCCCTCCGAGATTTTTCGCCCTTGTCCGAGAAGGCTAGGTGTAGATCTTTCCTACCAGAAGATCAGGGGTGTGGCAGAAAGACAGCAGTAAGGAGGAGCCAAGGAGTAGCAGTAGAAAGGCTGCAGAAAGAGTCAGGAGCCCAGAGGAGGGGGCAAAGGAGGTGAGGGGGTGGGGACAGAAAGTGGAAATGAAAGCAGACAACAGAACATTGTTAGAGATCAGGAAAGGATGTGAAAGGAGACAATTTTAGAGAAGAAAATTTTTCTGTCGCTACCCGGAATCGAACCCGGGACCTTTGAATGAGAGGCCAACACCTTAACCTCTAGGCCACGAGAGCCCCCTTTTTGGGTGTAACGATAAAGAACCTTTTAGTACAAGTACATTTTGCAACACTCCAAAGAAAAAAACCAAAGAGAGTCGCATTCAATATATGCAAAAGCAGTCTTTGCTAAAAAGAACAAATTCCACCAGAAAGCATGGTTGATTGTTTTTCACTGAGTTGACACAATCACAACCACATTAAAATTCAATCATGTCACACATTGCACCGAAAAACCGACAATTATGACACTTTAAAATAACAACAGAACTTAACCACTCACAACATGCAGAACAGAAAACACGCAGAAAAAAAACAACACTATACCTGTACTGTGAGTTTGATCATTACATCTTTGTATTTGGCAGGATCGTTACGGACCGCCCGCTTGGCTTCTTCAACGTTTTTGTCAAAAAATTCCTGTTGAGTAAAAACGCACCACGATCATATATTATATTCTGAACTGGTTTTGAAAGGCAAGATCACAGGGCAATACATTATATCTCAAGAAAGAAGAGGCAATCTTAAACAAACTTAATGTGGCTTACTTTGCTTAGTCAGGTTCATGGGAAGTTGACAAAGTACAGTGTAATAGTGTGTGTGCCTAAAGAAAGATAGCAAAAGTCGCCACATACAAGCTGATAATGACAAAAAATCACTTCTTTTACCAAAATGTGTTGCCATAAAAAAAAATATTATAGTTCCACCATTTTTTAACAATGTGTTAATTGATTTGACTTCTAAATATTTTATTTTGAATTATTTTGAGGGCAGGGTATGTTCTAAAAAGGTAATCAAAACTGTTTTTAATAGGTGTTAAAATCTATTTTTGAAGCACGTTTTCTCTTCCCCGCTATGTTTTACCATTGAATTCTAATCATGATATTGACGTTAACTGAATGCCGAAATGGAAACAATTGAATCATTGGGTTTTTTCTAGTTTTTTATGTGTTCTTAACATAAAAGCTAATTTTCTCAAAATTAGATCTTTATACCCTACCTCGCAAAATGTGCAAAATCTCAAAAACGACTTGAGATTTCCCAAAAATTCAGAAACCACTGTGTTCAGCATTGAATGTCCTTAGGTACAACCCTTAACTCAAAATGGTTAAAATCCGATGTGTGTGTGCCTAAAGAAAGGTACCAAACATAGCAGGGAAGAGAAAACATGCTTCAAGAATAGATTTTAACACCTTTTAAAAGAAGTTTTCATTATCTCTTTAAAAAATACCCTTCCCTCAAAAATAAATATATATCTAAAAGTCAAATCCATGAAAAACCTTTAAAAACATAAAAAAAATGGTGGAACTATAATTTTTTTATTTTATGGAAACACAGTTTGGTCAAAAAAGTTATTTTTGGTCATTACCAGCCTGTCACTCAAAACAGTCTGTGGCGACTTTTGGTACATTTCTTCAGGCAAAAAACAAATATGCTGATATGTGAGATATAAATCAGTCAAAAGTAAAAACAACAAAAAGGCAAAGCAAATAGCTACGGCAGAGAACTGACAAAATGAGAACAAACACGATAAAACAGGTCTGGCCAGGAAGCAAAATTTTATGTTTAGAACCAATATAATTCCAAATATTCCATATAAAGAAGAGAGCTACTTACACTCATCAGTTCCTCTTTTTTCTTCAGCAGTTTAAGACGAGCAGCATTCTTCAGATTAGAATTTTGACTGAAAGATGAGGAAAAAAAACATCACTTCATTAGAGAACATGGGAGAACTGTAAGAAAAAAAAAAGAATTTATTTAATCTAACCAATCCATATGATCAATGCTTCCAAATTGTAACATCTTAGAAGCACACTGAACTGGTATGCAATGCATAGCACATGTGGTGGTGATTTGGGGGGGGGGGGGAGGGCGCAAATTACTCAAACTCTAGTAGTAGTAATATAGGGTTTTATGGCGCTCGCAACTGCTAAGGTCATATGAGCGCGCGAAACACAAGTTGTCTACTTTCGCAAAAGTTCATAGCACGATTGGTTAACTAATTGACTTTAAAATGCTAAAATGTTAAAATATTAAAATTCAGTGTAAATATATTTGTGATCTAAAACAACTCTTATAGGTAACAATAAAAATTGTAAATAGTACGTTTTCATTTTTCATTTTACAACTTGCCA